GATGTTTGTTGTAACGATATGGCTAGTGACAGCAAAAATGACCCACCAGTAGAAGTAGCTGGCTTCACAGCTCAGATGATTATTCTGAACCATCCAAGCTGGATTGTCACACAGCTTACATTGCTTGCAAGTTTGCTGACCTGAAAAAGATTGATCACTGTTCTGGAAAGAAGCTGGAAGATGGCCCCAAACTTTTGAAACTTGGTAATGCTTCCATTGTTGATATAGTTCCTGCCAAGCCCATATGTGTAGAGTGCTTCTTGGGCTGTCCTCCTTTGGGCCGTTTTGCTCTTCCCAGCGTGACACAGTTGCTGTGGGTGTCTCACAGACTTCTGTGGCTAATGAGGTCACCAAGTCTGCCGAAAAAGTAAAATGAATATAATCCCTACCTAGTACCTGCCACCTCAGTCTTAATCACTGGTAGAACAATCTCAGAAGTATTCCAATTGGCCATTTAAGTTTATCGGTAAAAGACTGGTTAATGATAACAATGCATCCTAAATCCTCAGAAGAAGAGGAGAATGTTTTGTGGACCATTGGTTTGTGTGTGTGTGTTGCAGTTTTAAGTTATTAATTTAAAAAAACAATACTTTTTAATGGAAACAACTTGACTGGAGATTATCCCAGAGCCTATGAACTTGAAAAACATTTGGGCTAGTGTCTATCTTTTCGAGAGTTTTAGAATGCCCAATCTTTATAAGTGTTTGCCTTCAAACCAACTAAATAGAGCTCTTTTACAAATTAATTTTAGCAATACCACCCAGATGTCGAAAAGCATGACACATTTACAACAGATATGTAGATAGATGGACACACAAACACAAAGATCTTACAGCTTTTCTTTTTACTAATATTAATGGAGAGGACATTTAGGCTTAATTTCCAAATACCTCCCTCTCTCCTTTTCTTCCCTTCTGATGATATTTCTCCCTAATGTTGGCATGTGAAAGGATGGCCCTCAGGTCCTAGAGAAGGTGGAGATAGAAAATTTACATCCCAAAGGCACAGATTGAGTACAGGAGAATTCGGTTTCCAGGGTCCAGATCTTTTCAAGCATTTTGAGAGGAACCAGCAAAGGTTTGGAGGATTGGCGAAAGGGCAGGTGAACTTTCAATTTATAGAACCAAACCTTTTACCTGGCAGATATTTGCAAGACAAAGGCAGTTGTCTCCAATTCCCCCAAAGAATTGGGTTGTAGCTTTTGTTTTAGGTACTTTTAATCTTTTTAATTTTTCATTAACCTTCTGTAGTGATTCATTCAATGAAGCTATTTTGGAATTTTGAAACCTTTTGGAAGTTTTTGCATACAATTAACATACAAGACCAAATTTGTTTCTTTGATTTGTGAGCTCTTGCTTTTAAGTGCACTTTTTTTTATTTGAAAGAGAGAGAGAGAGAAGGAAAAAGAGAGAGAGAGAGAGAGAGAGAGAGAGAGAGAATGTTAAGAGCAGGCTCCAAGCTCAGGGCAGAGCCTGATGCGGGGCCCCATGCAGTGCTGGACACGGGGCTCAGTCTGACAAACCATGAGATCATGACCTGAGCCAAAATCAAGAGTCAGATACTTAACCAACTGAGCCACCCAGGTACCCCTTAAATGCACTTTTTAAGTGATCTTATAGATTTGTTTTTGTTTTTGTTTTTGTTTTTATTTAATTTCAAGTTAGTTAACATACAGTATAGTCTTGGGTTCAGGAGTAGAACCCAGTGATTCATCACTTACATATAACACCCAGTGTTCATCCCAACAAGTGCTCTCCTTTGTACCCATCACCCACTTAGCCCATCCCCCCACCCACCTCTGTCCAGCAACCCTCAGTTTGTTGTCTGTATTTAAGAGTCTCTTATGGTTTGCCTCCCTCTCTGTTTTTATCTTATTTATCCTTCCCTTCCCCTATGTTCATCTGTTGTGTTTCTGAAATTCCACATATGAGTGAAGTCATATGATATCTGTCTTTCTCTGACTGACTTATTTCACTTAGCATAATACATTCTAGTTCCATCCATGTTGCTGCAGATGGCATTCTTTTTCATCACCCAGTAGTATTCCATTGTATATATATACCACATCTTCTTTAGCCATTTGTCAGTCGATGGACATTTGGGGTCTTTGGAACATTCCCCATAACACCCATTATAATCCCAGGTTGTTTTTAGTAAAATTTTGCCTCCTTGCTAGACATCTGCAGCTTCTGGCACTATAGTTCTTATATGTGAAACGAGTGTTTGTGCCAGAAGACGGCACACTCAGCTCTCTGGATACAAAGGATCCCATGTGTTTAGCCAGCTCTTTGAATTTCTCAGAGCCAAGCTAATGCCTAAGCTCTTTGACTTCTGAGATACTCTTTTTGCCACAGCCTTTACTTCGCATGCACATGAATGGAAAGCAATAGTAACTGGAAGAACAGAACTGTGGACACCAGCAGTAACCAACAAACTAGGGACTGGGACAGGATTAAATGAACAGGCCTAAAATAATGGAGACCACAAACTGATTCCAAACCAATAGACAATTGCAGCTGCCACCAGCAGTTCCCAGCATGGAATCTGGAGAATAATTCCAAACACGGGGGGAATTGCAAATTAAACCATTACGAGTTCCCAACGTGGCATCCAAGGACAAAACCAGAGACTGTGGTTTAGATGTTACTGCAGACTGGCCCATAGTGGTCCCTGCATGCACATCCAGCAAGTCCTAGCGTGGACTAAACCGGCCGACTCCACTGATAGAGACAGTAGAATAGAACTGAGGAAAGCAGTAAAGCAGCAGAGCCCAGTCCATAACGACTGCAGACTAGAAACGGGGAAGGGACTCCAACATGGAACTGGGGACTGAACCAAGGGCTGGCTCTTTGTTAGAGCC